AAAAAAAAAAAACCTACTCAATGCCATGCAAATTTATTTTGTTGGCAAAGCAGGACACAAGCACTTAATGACTGCCAAAATGAAAGGAGACCTAATTGCAGGACACACAATAGCTCATTTCTCATTGTCAAGAACATCACTGTTTAACCTTCAAGACTGGGACTCTACAAGAAATGCATTTCTGTTGTGTTATTTGCGGTGCAGATGATGTTCTGTGTAACAGCATAATGGCTATTCTCCTTTTTTCAGTTTTGAATTTTTGCTGTGTTATCAGAGAACTTGAATACTGTGAGAAGGTGATTTTAAGTTGATAAATCGGCATCTTGTTCCCATGGTGATAACACTTAACTGAATATATCTATGAGGGCATGTATTAAAGATGTAAAAGAAACAAACAAACAGCACTAACAATACATAGCTGCAATGTGTACAATGGCTGATTTAATTAAATAAACATGTAAAAGTGTTAAATGTAGCAATGATAGTATCCTCTCTTTTTTGCAACTTTTTTGCAATTGGGAAATTATTTGGAAATTGCAAAATTATAAAGCAGGCGGCCTATTTTGTTATGATTAATTTTACACTGTTAATGTTTGACCGTCAAAGTCCCAAAGGGCTTAAAGGACGTAGGGTCATTTTATTCCATTGTGTCCATCTTAATCTTTCAAATCTGAGAAGTCAATTTTCTCTACGTCCCAACAATGGCAAAGGCTCATTTGATGGGAACAAAGAAAAAGTCCACCTCAGTGTAGAACTTCCAAAGAAAGACATCTTCTCAATACCTCTTTTTTTTAGAAAGACTTTTCATTCTAAAGGCAAGAGAAATATGTTGCTTGGTATCTCTGCCTGTTGTTGTTATTAGGGGATTTTTCATTATTGGTCTGAGTTTGTTTTGTTGTTCCTTTAAAATAACTTATAGAATAAAAATCAAGAGTAAAACTAATAATTTATTTTGTATGGTTGGACAATCTGATACAGGTTATATATATATAAACACATACATATAATGACATACAGGTAAACTTTGCTTAGAGACCACAGCTGGGATCAGCAGCTTCATTGCCAAGTGACATGGTTGCTAAGTGAGACATATGGCTGTGACTTGAAATTTTACTGCTGGCTTTTCCATTGACTTTGCTTGTTGGAATCTGGTTGTGAAGTGCACAGATGGTGATCACATACTGACTGCAGGTAGTGTGATGATGTTCGTAAGTGCCTGTACCAGTTGCATTTCTATTATGTTCAATATCTTTATTGTCACTGTACATCACGTATACAACAAAATTGGTTTAGCCTCTACTAGTGCAGTCCATACAAGAATACAAGACAACATGAATAATATAAAGGATAATCCTTATAAAAGTAGGGAAAAAAAACTAGTCATACGTTTCCATATGTACGTCATATTCTGTGCAACATGTATATTACTCTGGTGTATGATCATATCATGGTATATACATATTGCACACTACACTGGCACCAGTGAAATTCATCATATTAACCTGTTTGTGGTGCTATATTGTGTTTAGGAGTCTGATAGCTCAGGGGTAGAAGATGTTCTTAAACCTGTTTGTCTGGCTGGCTATTCTTCTGTGTCTTCTGCCTGATGGTAAAAGTGAGAAAAGACACTGACCAGGATGTGAACCGTCCCTCAGGATCTTCCTTACTCTGCTGAAACAACGAGACCTGGCGATGTCGGCCAGTGGTGTTAGGGGGCAACCAATGTCGAATGTATCACTCTCTGTAGTGCCTTCATGTCCGCAGCTGTTGAACCAGGGCACCATACTGTTATACAGTATATGAGGATACCAGTAGTGGGATTCAAATTTTTTTACTATCTGTTCTGTGGGCCTGGCTTGGTGGGCATGGCAGGGAAGGATACTGTAAAATCTCCAGTCAGAGATGGTATTTGCCGGTTCTCCAAACTACTCAAAATTTCCACTACTGGTTCTCCAGAACTGGTCAGAACCTGCTGAATACCACCTCTGGAGGACACTTTATATCATGGACTGATAGAAAGAAGTCATCAGCCATTGTTCCACCTGATTTTTCCGCAGGACTCTAAGGAAATGAAGCCTCTGTTGAGCCTTCCCAAACAGCAGGGACATGTTGTATTTCCAGGTGAGGTCTTGACTAATAAGCACTCCCAAGAATTTAAAAGAAGAAACCCTCTCCACATAGCCCCCCCCCCCCCCAATATACAGTGGGGCAAATTCCTCTCTGGGAATGCAGCACAATCTCCTTTGTCTTGCTAGAGTTTAAAATGTAAATTGTTTTTTTAAACACCATGTGGATAGCTTCTGGACTTCTTCCCTGTATGCTGATCCATCCCCTTCAATTATAAGATCCAGCATCGTTGTATCATCTGCAAACTTTATTACGATGTTGGATAGATCAGAGGATACGCAGTCATATATATACAGAGAGTACAGGTAGGGGCTGAGCACACAGCCCTGTGGGGAGCCTGTGATCAGTTTCAGGGTGGAAGTTGTGAAGGACCCAACCCTTACTATTTGTAGACGGTCTGTCAGGAAGTCTTTAACCCAATCATAAATGAGGGGAGGGAAATTTAGGTCAGTCAGCTTTTCAGTGAGGATGGTATTAAAGGCGAGCTATAGTTTATAAAAAGCATTCTGACATAATTCCCAGATTTCTCCAGGTGTCTCAGTGCAATATGTAGAGCAGTGGTGATGGGGTCCCCTGTCAACCTGTTACTTTTATAAGCAAACTGGTGTTCAACCTGTTACTTCTATAAGCAATCTGGTGAAATTTGGTTCAAGACAGGGCTTGAGGTATTGCAGGACCAGTCTCTCAAAGCACTTCATCACTATAGATGTCAATGTAATGGGTCTATAGTCATTCAGGCTGTTTATGACTGCTTTCTTTGGAACTGGGGTAATTGTGGCTGCTTTCAAGCACAATGGGATTCTAGCCAGTTGCAGGGAGATGTTAAAAATCCTTGCCAGGATCCCTGTTAAATGGTCAGTGCAGGTTTTTACCATTTTCCTCAGTACCCAGGAGTGGGATTCTACCAGTTTGGACCAGTTCTATAGAACTGGTTGTTATGATTCTGCACAGTTCAGAGAACCAGCAAATTGTGCCCCTGGCTGGCCCTGCCCCTCTCCGCCCACCCCTCCTCTCCCTGCCCAGTCAGTCCTTATCCCACATATGTGACATTGCATGCATGCCTGGCATCACTGACTCTGTTCGCCCCCACCCAGTCACTCCTCAAGGTATTTCTTTTTTCCCCTTCCAATGATCAGCTGTGCCAAGATCCTTCTTGCTGTCTTACTGCTTCACCCAGGAGGCTTCCCTGAGGCCCAGGGGGCAAAAAGGAGTGGCGGGGGGGGTGCTGTGCCCCCCTGGCTCCATATTTTGCCTTCATGGGCCCCAGGGAAGCCT